TCATTAGGTTGTTGCACATCGTTCAATCTATTATCAGAAACTTCCATAATCACAAAAATAAACGTTGATAATAGCCAATCAACTTGAATCTTCGCAAATATAGGTATAATACAGTTCATTTTGAATAAAACAGATGGTAATACAGATTGGGATTCGTAGATAAAAGAAATGTCTGTTCAATCTTTATCCAAGAGATTGGGGAATTAATTTCTCTCTTTACGGATTGATCGCAATATAAAAATCATAAGAATGATGAACAAGTGAGGAAATGTTTGAATAACTTTGAATGTTTGAATACTTTCCATTATGTTTAGTTATATACAGGACTCGGGCGAGGACAACTTTCGTTTAATGACGGTTCTATTCATCCGAAAAATAAGAACTGCTGAGAATTGAAAAGCATCCGAAGTTAAGTACTCGGTATCCTCTTAGTAACCAGAGTCAATGAGTACAGCATAATTCCTTTGGGTATAAGTGACAAAATATTTCCTAATTCCGGTAATAAAATAATTATTATCGGTACGCTTCAAAGGCAATAAATATTATTGTTGAAGGAAAGCTTATAGAGAATAGAGGTCGACGTAGGTATAGCGTCGGAATTTTGCACTTAACGAGTGGGTGGTTCCAAATACCAGATAAGACCACCCGCGGAGCCCTTTTACCTTTGGTAAATTCATATAGAAATCTGTAGGTATATATTTTTCTATTGTCTAAATATAAATAAAAGTTGAACTCGATGGATGTAGGTAGTAAATTGAGGTAAACTGTAGATAGAATTTCAGATTTCATTTTTAGTTTAAGGGATGTTTTCAAGAAGCGATTGAAAATTTTAGGGTATCCTGAAGTGTACATTTTTTTATGTATTATAATCGATGAAGCTCGACATTCTTTATAAAAAAAGTATTAACGTATTACATTATGTGTATCGAAAAATTATTAGTTTGAAAGGTATTTAACTTAAATTTTGTAAAATTTATCGTACGAAAGGCGAGGAAGGAAATATCTTTTATATCAATCAATTTTTCCCTCTGCAGTAGTATATATTATACCGATCGTAATTATTTCAATGGTTTTAACAATCGACACTGCTCGAATAATTTATAAGTGTTCATTATTCTACTGAAAGAACAGTAAAATTTTTGCTTGATTTTTGAAGTAGAAGTATAGTACAGATATATCTTTTCTTCTGATTTCAACTAAAAGCATTTAGGCTTATAAGTAGTTTTCTACAAGTAATTTGGAAATCCTTTAGATTTTCAAATATTATTTACGAGGATATTGCTTTGACTCTGCTACCCTTTTTATTTGCTTATTTATTTTATTGCTAATATCTACAAATTACTACTTACCTACCGCCTATAAACAGTGTGTATTAGATGCTACTAATAATTTTGCAAATTAATTGCTTTTCTCCGATTTCATTTTATAATTATCGTATTATTTCATTCGTTCTGTGTGCGTCTTTCAGTGTAAAGTATTAAATAAAGTGTCGAATAAAGATCTTGCTGAGACCTTTTCAATCGTTGTTTCAAATTTTTCATCCACTCAGACTCAACTTCATGGATGAAACGAATAAATAAATAATAATAACATTTGTCAGAGTTTCCCGATAAATGTAACGAGTAGGAGTGTGTACCTCTCTCTCCTTTTCCATCCTTCTCTCGTCTCTCTCCACTTTGTCCTCTCTTCGTCCTCCATCCTCTTGATCCTCATCCCTGTTACTCTCTTTACACTCTGTGTTTCTTGCTGTTCATCCCGTTACTGCTGATTCTTCACTTCCCAGGGTGATTATTTTTTCTGACTTCCCTTCATCTTCATCTATCCATCTGAAAGAGGGGAGACTTTTGATAGCTGTTAGCGAGGGGTTCGAGCAATTTTTATTCTCCTTTCCTCCTCTGTACGTCTTTCTTTCTTTCGGCTGTTTCTCGACACATTGCGAATTTCGATCTCCTGTATGGTGCATCTGCGACGGCTGCATGTGTTGGAAGAATAGAAAGAACGAGCAGACTGTCTTCTACACCCTTCAAGATCTCGTAGGAACAGATGATAATCCCGTTTAGGAAGTTGCAAAGTTGTCTCGTTCTCTAGAAAGCTTCGCTGTTACGGTGTCATTATCGTTGGTAGTTTTCCATTACCCTTAACAAGTCTAGTTGAGAAACTCCCCTGTGCAGATATACAATCGTTCGTGAAAGTGCGTTTCGAACGCAAAATTTCCGATGTTCGATAAATTACGTCGATATCTAAATTCTTGTGATTTAATTGTTACGTTTTAAAAGAAATCAATGAGAGTTCATTTTAAAGCTTGAAGCCTCTACGTTCGGGATTCGTTTTATTCTAAGAAGTTTTTGCAGTATGTAGTGAGTGGAAAAATGAAGACATTTTTTGAAGGGTTTCTGAACATCGCATTGTCGAACATTCTCGAACACGAGAACGTAAAGAGAAATTCACTAATTTTCCAATTATATTATACTTCGTAAAATGTCACCTGGTTAGGTATATGTTAACAAATTTTTTTTTTATACAAGTTAAAAATGCAATGTCATGTAATCGGAACCGGAAAGCACATGACCGGTTTAAAAGTTTGAAACCCCTGTATCAGGTATGTATTACGTAAATGGCTCCCCACGTTTACTTGCCTATGTGTGTCTTTAATGGAACGTCAATGGAACATCACCACGGCTACGCGCGTGTGTAAGAACGTACGTTTCGTCCGATCGTACACGTATCCACATACGATCGTATCTTGAACACGTATGCGTGCATATACCGCACACACGTTTGCGAACTGTCTGTTACATGTACACACGTATATGCACTTAGCGGTGCACCATCGGGTTACCCATGGTTGGCACGTGCCAACCATCACAATGGATACGACCATCTGCACTCCTTCTTATAGAAAAATCAAAGTCGTAGGGAGCCAGGCGTTTGCCCGATTCCAAGTTCCCAGTTCCCTTCCAGTCCGTTATGCGTTCGAACCGTTCGTTTCTCGCGAAAGGCGGTTTCTGGACCAGTACCGAGTTCATACACGAATATTGCAAAAAGAGAAAGAAAAAGAAAGACGTGATAAGTCTGGTTTTCTGATTCCGATGTTACCTGGCTCGATGTCACCTGATGGTTAAAAGGGGAGTATTTCAATACAGTTGCTCGTGTATGTATTCGAGCACTTGTAAAGAGTTTTTTTTTTTCTTTTTTAACGTGTGTTACGCGTTTTATACGAAACTTTCTAAAATTTCAGTAGCATCGTAATGAGAAAACTATTAAGGTATTAATTAACCTTAATAGCAAGACATTAGTAGTTACAGGATAAGTCTGAATGACCTGTTGTCAAGCGGCCGTGTTTATGGCCATTATTCAGATCTCTATAGTCAGAGTCAGGTAGAAAATGAATATAATAGTATTTAAGACAATTAAATGAAAACCTAAACAGTAAAATTTAAAAAACTTGCTATATTTTTAAGAAGATTAAGACAAAAATTAAAAATAGAGAACCGGGATTTACCTTTCAGTCAATTTGCTGACATTTAGATATTTCAATATTTTTCACTTTCGAATTGTATTACTGTACAATGATGTTACTTTTTAGTTCTGTAAGTATGCTTTCTCTAACAAATATAACGATAAATATCGTTAGGTTTATGAAGGACAATTTCCATATTCTTACTATTTCTTCTGAAGACTACTACATATAAAGACGATGATAAATGAAATATGAATTTCAGGAGGCAAATTATAGAAAGAAAAAAATTCCTGGATATTTGCTATCTAACTTGGATTAGAAATTATCTCTGAAGGCTGTGTGTAAGTAGTGCATGTGTCGCAAGGATGGAGAAGGTGCACAATCAGACAGCTGTGTGCCTAGGGGTACGTTTGCAACCCCCGATATATGGCAAAGTATGCAGCTGAGCTACCCCCATGGTCGCACAGTGCGTTACTTGCGTTCGATGCCCTATAGCGAATAATCTTCGCATTTGTGACTGCTGGGAACAGACCGATGGTTCGTTCGTTATGTTTCTTCGCTCCCTTACTTGCACACCCTCCTCTTGACTATTCTCCCCCGCTTTTTTCACTATCTCGTTTATCTTTTAAATGATCTTCGTTTATCACTCAAATCTGGTAGGAAACACGCTTTACTGCGATAAAATGAAACGTACAAAGCAATGCCGTTATTCCAAATTAAACAAGTTGTAATATAAGGATCGTTCCTTTTTTGGAAGGTCGCTATCTTCCATTTAAACAGAAATTAATTTCTCGATGACCAATTTTGTAAATAACTGTTATTTCTGATCTCTGATACATAATATCCGTGTTATCTCGTAAGTGTCTCGTTATTCCAACAAATGTTTGTCATACATTTGTGTTGTACAATAATTAGTAATGGTTAGTTTTTGTAGATTTGATGAATAGTGAAACCAATATAGCTTTATTAAATATAGAAAAGATAAAGAAGATGGTACGAAAATTACAATGAAAAATTCTCAAATGTATATACTGTCTCAAGAGGTGATTCTACGTGAAAAAATGAGTCGAAAAGAAAGAATTGTTTCCTTAAAGCCTTCATTTTCGAGAAAATTGAGTTTGAAAATTTATCAAGTGCATACACGTGTACTAAGGTAATTTTCAATGAAACTATTTTGTTGAATTAGACGAAAAAATTTTATTCTACATTTTTCACTTCCTACATTTTCATTTTTATACAAAGAACATCCTTGTGTCAATTATTTGCTCCGTATAAAATTAGCTAAATTTAAGTATACTTGATAAATCTTCAAACTCATTTCCTCGATAAAGTTTTAATGAAAAAATTTTATTTTTTCTCTTCGATTCATTGTTTCGTCTAGAATCTAACCCCGAGCTTGGTTATACCGTCGTGCAACGTAAAAGTTAGAGTGACGACATAATTACCTGTGTCTTTATTTATCCTTTCTCTCTATTTGTTTTGCATCCGCATCAAGGATTTTCCGTGCCATTACAAATTTTTCGCATCCCTTTGTTTTTTCCGCGCGTGCAGATTTCGAACACATTTGCACGCTAGAATCTTACGAAGGGATACCTGCCGTGTGAAAATCTTTGAAGAATGTGAGGGTGATATCGAAGATCAGGTGAAGCATTGTGATCTATAGAATGAAAAAACGGACCGAGCTGTACCTGCTGAGAGCTGCATCCTTCGGAATGGTTGGTGCATCAGTCGACGGGAAAAGGAGCGTTCTAGTAACAGAGAGAGAGATGGAAACAGGCCCTTTCAGTGCGAGCAACAACTCCTACGGTCGGTCGGCAACCTTTTCCGGCCTGGTATCGAAAGTGAGCTAGCCAGTGAATGACCGAGTATACACATAGATGCGCGCGCGAGAGAGAAGACAAGCGGCATAGATTCAAATGTTCCTTTTCTTCTTCTTCTTCTTCTTCTTCTTCTTCTTCTTCTTCTTTTTTATTCGTCTTTTTCTTCGTCTTATCCTTCTCTTTTTTCTTTAAATATAATATATGGATATGTCGTCTTATAATATAATACAATATAAAATATAATATATGGATATATCTAATTATAGATACTAAATTAAATAATTTCTTTAAAAATGAGGATTCTTCTATGTCAATCGATACTTCAATCTATTTATCGACTGATTTAGATACCGTATTTTTAAAAGTTAATAATATGACTTATGAAAGAATTTGAACATTTACCATTTATTATTATTAGCGTATAAACATATTGAAATATCATTAGCATTGTCTCGTTAGACCTGATTGTCATAATTATACTGATAAAAAGAGACGATATGATGTTCGAGTTTTGTCAATGAAATTTCGTATAACGCACATAACGTGCGTAACGCACATAACGCACATTACATGATATTTGTAAAGAATATCATGTAATCACTGTAATCTATCTTTCAAGATCATCGAACAGATAAGTATATGTACTTAAAGGAATTTCAATTAGATGAAGAATTTTATTGGAACGAAGATTGGGAAATCTTAAGGGAATGTATGCAAACGCAAGTGTGTCTTTACATGCATTTCATAAAAATTTAGCGGCTGATAAATATCGGCGAACGATCAAGTAAACGAACAAACGGATGTAACGAAACACACTGGCAAAGAGGCAGAAAAGGGCCCCCCATAGCGGTTGCCCTAAAGAGTGGATTCCGCGTTCCGTTCTCCCTGTACACTCTGAGAAGATTTAGGCGGGCCCTTTTCCAGTTTCGGATTGGTCGGCCCTTTCCCCCCACCAGACCAGACTACTGTCTATAAAAGCAGCAGACCTTCCCGCCATACTGATCAGTCAGTACGCAGCTTTTGCGAGTTGTTCGTCCGGTGGCGTCTTGCAATATTTGGTTGTATGTTCCTTGATGTGTTATCTATGCACTGTCAATTTATTTGTCGGTAAAACAAATACGGCCGTTTTTAGTTTGTGGCGGTACGATTCTTCGTTAGTTCTACCTGTCATAAGCAATGTATTGGCAAGAAGATGCTAGTTCGTGCGATATGTGTCGGTGTACAAGGTATACATTTTAACAAAGTCATTTGTTTTCGAATCATTCTAATTATTATGATTAGAAAATTTCGATCTCTGATTTTGTTTCGTTTTGTATTTTTCGTATAAACGTGCGTGTGAACATGCCGGTATACAAAAATCTCAGTGTAAACTCAGTGTAAACTTCAATGAAATATATGTGCACGAAGAAAATTCATGCTACATATAAAACAAATTAGTTCATTTGTGTGTTTCTGGATTCCAGTATAAATTTCTTGTAAAATATTTAGTGATATATGTAACTCTAGCTCATATTGAATGTGTTAATGGTGAAATCGGAGTTTTTACACGCTGCTGAATCTATGTGATACAGAAAAGGATAAAATTAAATACACGTGGAATTTGTGATATAAATAATGTTTGCATATAGAATGTAGATAATGCAACATTTCGTTATCGTTTGTCGAAAATTTCAATTTTCGAGAACGTGGGGAATTTAGGAATTTTTTTTTATTTTTTCTAAACTTTTTTTTTATTTTATAAATTTTTTTACAATTTTTACAATTTTGAAAAGAACATTGTTCCATTCGTTACTTAATGTTAAAATATTTTTGAAAAAGGAAATGAATTTAGGGCAATCAAAATAGTAGTTTTAAAGTGAGATCAAGTAGATTGTTATGTGATTTTTTTTTACGAAGTTTAAAGTATGAATAATTTTTTATTAAACTTAGTTGTATAATAGTTTAAAGTATAAATAATTTTTTATTAAACTTAGTTGTGGTGCAAAACTGATTCCATGAAAACAATTTATATCTGCGAGAACAGTGATGGTAGTAACACGATCGTAACATTTTTTTTGCGAAAGTATTCTATAAAACATTATATATTTTGTATTTTGTAGAATATTACTTATATTTTATTAAAATAGTACTTGTATGAAAATTCTACACGTGTTGAGTTTTGCTCTTCACAGTATATCTGCGCAGGCGCATACAGTTGGCGCGCCCGCGTTCTACCATACTTCCTCGTGTTGTATACAATGTATTCTAGACAGAAAACGCATAGGAATTAATGAAACAAGTGTGAATGTCAATGTGTTCTTCTATATTATTTAAGCACGTAAAATCTGTAATCTTTGAAAATTTTACAATATATATAACAGTGTTCAGTTTCGAGGCAAATTTAGAAGAATTAATCAGTCATTGATGGTTATATATTCTTGTATGTAAAAAATATCTATGACAAAATTTCTGAAAATACGTTCGATGAAATTTAACGTGTACGATGGTCTTCAGTTCGAGAAATCTTTCGTTTCCAATTATGACTTTCAGAATACGTTTCTTTATCGGGACGTAGTTATCGAGGTTAGGTTTATTATTAAATTTGAGCTTACACGTGTTTGTCTATATGTGCGTATAAATTTATTTAATAGTTACTTTCTTTCTTTACAGTCTTTTCAAGAATGCATTTAACATTGAAAACATTTCCAATGACACGGTGAAGTCTAAGCCAAAAATCCGACGACAAATACTTAGTATGGCGGCGCGACGTTATTCCAGTCCAGAGTCAGTCTCGCCATCTATCGATAAAGAAAATAATAGCGCCGTTTGCGGTCTGCATTATACCAGTCCGCTAAAGGTATGTTATGCAAATGTTCTTATGTATTCCGAGTTTTTCTTCTTCTTTTTTTCCTTCTTAATCTTATTAATTCTAACTAATGCTTTCCATTAAATTATGGACAAGTGTAAAATATCACCTTTCATTTCGTCACGTTGAGGAAAACGGTGCACCTGTTCCTACATTATTCCAAGCTATTTATCGCTCACTTTCTACATCTTGAATATATTTAAAATATCTATTACACATACGGAGGCGCGCGACAAAGTTCTTATTCGTGTTGTATTGTATCGAATCCAATCGAATTGAATTATGTATCGAATCTAATCCCTCAGAATCTAAAGTCGAACTAAATTGAAATTTTGAACAACCGCCATTTTACATTTGAATTATGAGCCGCGATACCGGACCTTAAATTTTCTTTTTAAGTGCGATAAACATCAACGATCAGAATTAATATAGATAGAATTTCATAAATATTCAAATTTAATCGATGTATTTTGGTGTGTAATAGATCGTCAACGCAAGGAGACTTCGTCAGCCGTTGGAAGATTGTGATCCGAACAGCCAGGATAGCGGATATGAAGCGTGCTATATCGATAAAGATGAGAAATCGAAATGTAAAATTCGATTCGCGGAGCCGCTTGTCATTGATTCCCCGTGTGAACAGTCTATCGGATCTCGGACGCCGGCGACTTCGCCAATACGGCTGTCACCGGTACGATTGTCACCAGACATAGAGGAAGTCATTCGAAGTATTTCATCCGGTTACGAGAGCATGGACGACGGGTTCAACGATCTAGATGAAAATTTAGACGAAGCAGCACAGATACCGAATGGCATATCTACTTTGATCCGCGGCAACTTCGTCGACGAGATCATAGTTTCAAACTCATCGATAAGTGATCAGACGACGGCTGAATTTTCACGCACCACGAACAACGAAGCAAGTGGCTTTAGACGCTCGTTGATATTACAATATACAGCGCAGAAAAATCAGAAAAATTTGTCGCTTCCGAAAGTACGTTCCTGCTTGTTCCATTCTTCGAATGCGAACTCGTCAACCAGTAATCCAGGATTCGATGGTGTTAGCCCGCTATCGCCGAGGATATGTCAGATTCGACGTCGACAAACTGCTGCCAGTTTCGCCAACAGAAACGTTGCCGCGAATACTTTCAACTCGCCGATTTCTCGTGCCTTGAAACGACAAGACTCGCCGATGATCGAAACTCCGAAACTAGTCAAGAGATTACGTAGATGCACCAGTTTTCTCGACATTGTTAAAAGCTATGAAACGTTTGAGCCAAAGTCGTTGCAGAAGAGTTTTTCTGCATCAGAAATGACAATGGGGACGTTGTCGACGAAGATGGAAACAGATACAGTAACTGAAGTGGAAATGAAAATGGAGACAGAGTCAGAAACAGGAATGGAAGTATCATCGGAATCGGAAATACACGCGTATATCAAATCGGCTATTCATCGCAGTACTACAGACGCCGATCTCACGGGAGACTTTAGTAAGCCATGTATCCTACCATTGGCTGCCGGACATCACGAGGATTTGAAATCAATCTCGGTCGACACCTTGGCCTCTTTAATACGTGGGGAATTCAATGATAAAATCAATTCGTTCAAAATCGTGGATTGCCGTTATCCGTACGAATTCGATGCTGGTCACATTCAGAATGCTCTAAATCTTTACAGCAAGGATCTAATCGAACAGATTCTATTAAATCCATTAACAAATACACCTGAAATTCAACCAGATACGAATAAGAGAAATATCCTAGTATTTCATTGTGAATTTTCGTGGGAACGAGGCCCAAATCTCTCACGATTCTTGAGAAGTTTAGATCGAGAACGTAACAAAGAACGTTATCCCGCACTCTATTATCCGGAAGTTTATCTCTTGCACGGTGGATACGAGCAATTCTACAAGAAGCAGAAGGAGTTATGTTCGCCACAAGGTTACCGACCGATGAGTCATCCTGATCATCAGGCTGATCTCAAAATATTTCGAAGCAAAAGTAAAAGTTGGCAAAATGAAAAATCAAAGCTCAATGCTTGTGCAACGCGAATTAATTTAGATCGTGTAGGTTTTTAAATATATGAATCTTTTTTTTTTCACTCTCTTCATTCTATTTTTTTTTCTTTTTTTTTTTATAGCAATCAATTCACTCGAGATAGAGAAATTGTTGATCAAGAAATCGTATAAAAGTGCAAATGTTAGATAATGACAAAGTGAGATAAGAAAAAGAATGTTTTTGTGCTCATTGCTCTAATGTAACTTATACTTTAATTGTTTCTGTATATTTTGTAAATATTAATAATTTGTTCAGATTTGCGCGAATTTTTATGTGAAAACATTTAAGAATGACATTTGAGTTGTTTAATTAATTTTAATAATTAAAATGTACTCTGTGTACACGCTGAATTTTCGCGAAACATCTCAAAATAACGACGATTGTTGATTTTACAATCATTATAAGTTGATTGAAATCGAAAAATCGTTCGAGATATTAATGTCGCACTTTAACGTGTGCACCGATGTATAGAGATTAATTAGAGAAGAATGTCAAGCAATTGTTTATAAATGTGCGATTTTGTACGAATGTTTGCTGTATATGGATACATGTTGTGTAATAGATACGAATATGTTGTACGATGTACGCATGATGTGTATACATGTATATAAAAAAATTATATAAATATTAAAAAAAAATCATATATATAAATATTACATGAATCAACTTAGTCTATGTGTAATTATTTCATAGCAATAAAAAAAAAATTTCGTTCAATATTCTTGTTTTTTGATTTGAAATTTGTATCTTACGTCATTAGTCTCTAATTTTCCATAGGTGGCGTGTTTGTCAGTTTGATGGTTTCGAGAACGTGATTGGCCAACCATGCAGCGCTACTAATGCATATGTAGTATACTGATATATAGAGCATTTGCAAAAAAGGAAGGACAAGGATCGACGGTGTGCCGGTTTCTAAGATTGGTGCAAAGTCAGTTATACTTTTCATTGCATTCTTCCTTTTAAAGTATTTTGTTAGTGAGTTCTTTGAGTGTCATGTCAGTGCTTTTGATGAACGCAAGTAATATCTGTTAAATAAATTGGCCGAAATGTATCGTATTTACTTTGCTAATATTGCACGCAATATCTAATACTGTAATGCAGAATATTACGATGTTCTCTTCCTTGTATTGCTTTCGTTTCTGCTGCTTTTCTTTTTTTTTATCGTATCTTTTGTTTTGTTTGTAATTTCGTAAAAAATTGGTAAAAAACAGTTGATTACAGTTCAATATCAATCATATTGCATGTTCGAGTTTCGTATCGGCCATTTCCGGTAACCTTGTATTCATGATTTCACCGCGATTACAAAGAACGAATTATTTGTTACTTCTTCAGTCTATTATAATCTATTAATATCTGTTTTATTGTATTTTCAGCTTCGTTAATTGCAAGAAAACCTTTTGTTGAAATTGGAACTCGTCTTTTGTCATCCATGGCTCAACAGTTGCAGACCCACGGTGTTGTGCCTGATGTTATAGACAAGGTTCCCACAAATGTATTGCAAGTCACTTATCCAAATAATCTTGCTGTTGAAATTGGCAAAGTGTTGACTCCAACACAAGTTAAGGATCCTCCTGCTGTTAAATGGGATGGAGATGCAAATACTTTTTATACTCTCTGTATGACTGGTATGTATTTAATGAGAGAATAGTAATTTTGTAGTAGTAATTTTTAATTAATAATTACATTAATTTATTAATTCTTCTTCCAGATCCAGATGCACCAAGTCGTAAAGAACCAAAATTTCGTGAATGGCATCACTGGCTTGTAGGAAACATTCCTGGTTCTGACGTTTCCAAAGGAGAAGTCCTCTCTGAATATGTTGGTTCAGGTCCTCCAAAAGGCACCGGATTACATCGTTATGTTTTCCTTTTGTATAAACAGCCTCAAAAGCTTACATTCGATGAACCTCGTTTAACTAATCGCAGCGGGGATAATAGAGCAAAATTTTCCATAAGAAAATTCGCCGCAAAATACAAACTAGGAGATCCTATTGCTGGAAATATGTACCAGGCTGAATTTGATGATTATGTTCCACTCCTATATAAACAATTAGGAGATTAAGCATGAGTAGAATATAAGGAATTTGAAACAGGAATATATAGATTTTGAAGATGGATATGCAGATATTTTACATTCTTGTAATACTTGTACGTGAAGAAGGAAAATAAACTAAATTACAATGTATTACCGTAGTGTAGTTGATCGAATTAATCCATTTTATGCAAGATATATTAATATATAAGATTTTATCAAATTGATTTGATGATTGGAATGATTACTGTTTTTATTTGATTTAAGTAAGAGGATGTTAAAGAGGTTGAAGAAGCATTAAGTGAATAAGGACATGGACATTTGTGAAAAGAGGGGAGAAAATGGTTGTCCAACAACAAATGAAAAGAAAAGTTAAGCGTAATAGGAATTCTTGTTGTTAGGTTATAAACTAGGAAAGGAGGGGGGAGAGTCGATGGGATAAAATGTTCCTCCAGAGTCGACCGTATTGTAGTTTGTCGAGGCTAAGTGAACGATCGTAACGAAACGAAGATGAAGTATTTCATGGTGATAGGTGCGTGCTTTTTAATTAGAATCGGATCATGAATTTGACTAGTTTGATTTTGAATCATCGTATGTTGAATACAAGATAAAAATAAATTGCAGGAGTCTTTATTTGCGGTATCCATATTATCACGGGTGCAGATACTCGTTCAAAATTCGAGGAAGCGCAAATTGTACCTGACATACTGGACAAGGCACCAACGGAGAAAATCGAGGTGTAGTTTTTTTTTTGGATAATTACGTTTAATATAAGAATGAATCTCTGAGTGACAAATGCGAAAAAAAAAATGTCAGGAGAAAGTAAAAGTCATAGATGCCTGTTAATTAATTGTGCGTAATCATTTAAGATAATTAATTAAAAAAAAAAATTGTTTCATATAATTAAATTAAATTATTAAATTATTTCATATAATATTATTTATAATAATATAATATTTATCTGAGTTAGGTCAAATACGGAGAGAAAGTGGTTGATTTTGGAAATGAGTTAACTCCGACGGAGACGCAAAAGATTCCAGAAATTCATTATAAACATGAAGGGGGAGTTCTTTACACACTTGTAATGACAGGTAAGTAGGCAGAGTTAATTTATAAATTTATTTCCAGGCCAGAGTTGATTGTGAAGAACGCGACCTTATATACATTACCTTATCCTTGTGAAACTTTCGAGGCTTGCAACTCGCGACAACTTTCACCGAGTCGCTGCGAACAAACCTGTTTCTTTCGTTTACTATTTCTTATTTGCTGTTTGACTTTTAATCGATCGATGATTCGATGGCTTACGATTTGATGCTTGTTGAAGCCATGACTAATTCGATGCTTTATCATGCGTAGATGCTGATGTGCCGACCAGAAAAGGATACAATCGAGAATTTCGGCATTGGCTTGTTGGAAATATTCCAGAGGAAAATATTGCGAAAGGAGAAATATTAGCAGAGTATGTTGGTCCAGCGCCACCAAAAGGTAGCGGGAAACATCGATACATCTTTCTCGTTTACAAGCAGAATCAAGGGTCTATTACTTTCGACGAGAGAAGACTAAGCAACAGGTACACGTATATATGTATAGCTTGCATGATTTTAACATTTTGTGGTCGTATCGAAACTTAGGTATAAACGATGATGATTAAAATGTTCATTGAACGAATGTCATAAATTATGCATTATGATAAGTTATTACATATTTTTAATCCTTAACGAGTTAAGAACTTTGTGCACATGTAATAACTTACGAAGTATATCGTAGCAGTATGATATGCGATATACGAACTAGTTTCTTATTTTGATGACTGAAAACAGATATACGACCGCAAAGAGTTGACTTACTTTCTATTTTTTTTCTGTTTCAATAAATTGATAAATGATAAATCGCGAATCATCGATTGGTACGAATTTCAGGGATGGCCCTCAACGAAAGCGATTCAACATAAAGAAGTTTGCAGAAAAATACAGTTTGGAAGGACCAATAGCAGGAAACTTTATGAGGGCAGAATATGACGATAACGTGCCAACATACGCGAAACTTTTAGGATTCTAAGGGATTAAGATGATTTTAAGTTGAGTAACCGGCTTACGAACGACACTCTTTTTTTTTTTATTGGTATTTAGGTGATGGTACGAACAAATTGCTTGTACAAGTACGACTGCCGGCCAATCGAGGTACGATATATTCAATTTACAATGAGGACGATGAAATGAGATAATAAACGTTTGAAGAAAATAATAGATACGAGAAAAATCGATCGATTTGTTTATTTTCGTTGATTCTCGTTACAAATATAAAACGTATCCTATGTAAATTTTGCGACTCGTGGATGGCTTTGGTTCGCTCTCGGAATTACTCCGAGTAGTTCAAAAATCTGGGTCGTCTTGAAGCGGGCAACGTTGCCTAGTAGATTACCATCGGGCAAACGATTTATAGACACTAGATCACTTTTTTTTTTTGTTACCCGTTTGTCGTTAATCGTTATTGAAATACGATGACTAGAATACGTGATAAGCGTGTTTCTCAGGGACGTCTGGCGACCGATAGAGATGCAAATTTGTCGAGGAGTTGAGTCGCTATGCGCAAAACGTGAATTGCTTTTGCCGCGTGAATCGGTTGCTAAATTCAGCACGAATTAATATAAAGATAAGTACGCCGCTAGAGATACCGCATGATCTGATAACAGACCGTGGGATCGATATAATAATTTGTCAATGCGAAGGAACTTGTTAAACGAGCATCTTCCACCAGAGACGAAACTGGACGAGTTAGGACAAGGCAGAAACGAAACGGGACAAGCGAGATGCGACTTTTTGGACAATGGGATAAAGAATAAGAGATAGATAGATAAATAGATAGATAAATAGAGAGAGAGAGAGAAAGAGGGGAGGAGATTGTAAAAGAAAAGAAAAAAGGAACTGAAAGGATATTTCGATGCCTCAAGGTAAAACAAGATCCGGATAAACGGTAATGTTCCAACAAAGCCGATGATCTCGTGTGTCGCCCCATCCACCGTTGCCTTTCCTGAGCTTCGTCTTTTTTGCAGTACCAGCTACAGTAAGCGTCAGTTGAGTAGGAAAAAGATGTTCTCGGGCAGCCTTTAGGACGTTTTGAACCTTTGCTATCACAGCGGTCGACTCGCAATTGGTTTTCTTGTGATGGACTCCGCTGGTATTGGTAACATTCACGAATACTTAATAATCACAAAAATATTTTGGAAGACATACAGTCGGGAAGGTGAAGGTAAGATTTCTTATAAGTCTTAGATTTTTTTGGCTGAATCACACAGCGATCACTTGACGTACCTGCATTTGTCAATGATAGGAAATCTTACCTTCAGGAAATAAGAAAGAATGAATTATTCTGACGTACCATTCTCCAATGTGGAAAACTCTAGGCGCCCTCATCATCATTGTGATCAAACCAGATTCTGTACGAGGCGCGATTCCGGGCCCTTTGCTCGGCGGCATACAGGTTTGCGCGATATGTTGAAGGCTCCAGTCCCAGTTGTAATCGTCGTACGAGCAAAACTGGGCGGCGCACTTTCTCAATTTGTTCCACGTGACACGATTAAACGCCATACCCATGTTGTGTTTGCTCGAGATCCAAGGAATTACCTCAGCCTGAATGAAACATCACGAACGCCGTTTTTAAAGTGTAGCGATGGCATCGTATTAAGGATAAAACGAATAGGAAGATCGCAGGACGATCGGTGCGCGTGAGCGCGTGCGCGCACGCGATTGCATGTTATTGAACATTCAAAACAAATTTCATACAACGCGACTCGTTACATAACGCTGCTCCTATTAATCGTTATCTAATGACATTGAACTTTCTTTCGTGGGATTTATGACAATTCCCTGGACGATTGTTCGAAGCTTGCGTAAGATCGTGCACAACGTCAGATCATTGATCACGAATTTATCGATCGGAGGTCGATCAAACTAACGGACAAATCTGAAAAAAAAAAATGACGCGTGCGTGCGCACGTGAGCGCCCGACTCCATAGAGACAGGGAGAGATGGAAGAGAATTGCACGCGTAACGAAAGGGTCGTCGAAAGTTGTCGGCAACCTTTTGATAATGATTGTAGAGTTCGGGTAGGAGTTGGAAAGCCCACGCGGAAGCAGATTGCAAAATCTGTGCGTTCCGAGCGATGGGTACGAAGGCGGCAGCGCCAGCGTTGCTAGCGATGTCATTAATGCTGTTGTTTTTGCTGTTGCTCATCCCGGTAGGAGTGCTATTGCTACTACTTCCGGTGCTACTGCTTCCGCTGCCACTACTGCTGCTGCTGCTGCTGCTGCTGCTACTGCTGCTGCTGCTGATGCTGCTGCTGCTGCTGATGCTGCTGCTCGGAAATCCGCCGATTCTTCCGCTCTCGCTGGTGTCTTCAGCTTTTATCGACTGTAGTCTTGCCGATGCCTCCCATCTCTTTAATCCACGAAGTAGCTCCTTTTGCAGGGCGCTGTTGACGCCAAGGAACTAACGGACGAGGCGTGCGTGAAACATCGACACACAGATATTCATACTGAAATCGAGCTAATGATTCGATATGATGATAATTCGGTATGCACCCATCGTCCAACGATTTTTTACGCGGTACTGGTTAATTTCTTTCTTTCTTTCTTTTCNTTTTTTTTTTTTTTGATTCAGATCGACTCGAATTTGCCTGCTTTTCATACATTGAATTTTCGTTCCTTTCATGTATTCCTATCTCTATCTACTTCTCCTTCCCTTCTTTGTGAAACGCGATGAAGAAGAAAGGTGAGCGGGGAATAAGAAAAAAAGACAGACAGACAGAGAAAGAGAGAATGCAACTGTCAAGTAAAAACAACTTTTATCAGAAAATGAAATAAAGGTCAACATGGAAGAAAAACATGGCAAGTTTATTAAGTTTTTGTCTTTAGCTATGAAATATGAGCTGAAGAGTAGAGTAGAGGTAGTTAGTTTAACTTAATTGATATTAACGTGCATAACTAATGCTATTAATGTTTTTCAACTGTTCGAGAAAGTGACAAAAATGTGTACAGTTGTTACGAAACGAAATATTGAATTTTGAAATTGCGCAATGAAGAACGGAAAGTGTGACTCGTGTTTCACATGGCCTTCGACAATGGATAATCACAGTGATTGAATAGCAAGGCATAAGTAAAAACTTCTCACTAGTAAAAAAAATCGCGTGAGTTAACGGTCCAAGAAGCAGAATTAGCCCGATTTTTTTTTACGGTTATTTGCATATCTGGTTAGGGAAGGAGCTGTTCGAGTTCACGCACTGAACGAGTAAAGCGATTAGAACAATTTGAGCAATTAGAGCGACTGAAACGGTTAGAGCGATTGGAACGATTAGTGCGACACGTGTGAGCCTCTCACCTTGCGGCTGAAGTCGGCAAAGTAGTTGTAGGTTTTGAGATAGGTGCCCAGAGATAGGACGTTGCATCTTTTGCAGCTATGCTTGCAGGTACGTTCCATCAGTCTAAGAACGTGTAGGAAGTCTTCGGCGACGTAATGATCCTCCTCGAGGAAAAGGACTATCCCAGTGTGGTTTCTCGTGATCGACAATTGATCGAACACCCGATTCGCTTTCCACCACCAGTGGTGTTTCGTTTGCGTAAATTTCGCCTCTCTGTAGTGTCCATAGAGATCCGGATGCTTGGCATTGATGCAACCGAGACTGAGAGCTCTGCGGAATTACGAATTATGGCGAAATAGCGAAAAAGTACAACGAAACAGAGAAAAATAACAGGATTCATTGAGAATCGAAGATGAGATAGTAACTGAAGAATTTTTTACAAGTGTCAGACGCGAACGTCTAAACATACAAGTATATTACCTTCCTTATTATTAGCGTATGATTTTACAGCTTTCTTCTTCTTTAATGTCAGATTCTTAATTATAGAATAAAATTGATCAAATGGTCAGATTTAAAATCGTAAACAAGCAACTATTTGTTTTAATACAGAGTGCATGCGGCGCATTTTTTAGTTGTAGTTAAATCAATTATTGACTATACATAGTGCTTCACTTTGTGACCTTACTGTATTGTTTTCACTTATTGTAACGTGGATACGTTTATAGAATACCTGTCTATTGTTTGGTGCGAATGCGTCTAACGCATCATATAGTATTGCGCACTTGTTTCCGACCAGATAAATTTTCCACTTTATATTCTACAACGTCTGCAAGAATTTTAGATCCGCAATTTCCGTCCGATTGGGAAATTTTACGTTTCACATGCCCGTGTGTCAGATTTGAGAAATTGGCTCATGATTTATTATAGAAATTACATTTACTATAAAGGATGATTACTCACTGCTCTTTGCGAATATTTCGAGGACAGTCGTTCGGATCTTCACCGGGAAACGTTCGAGGATGAGTCTGTATACTATGGGGATAAAATATTTGCATAACCCGGCAAAAGTCAACACTCTGCACGAGATAGTTGATGTCTGGATGCCAAACGTCGTGACTGAAGACCAAAAGGGTTTGCTCGATCCCTTTCGCTTGGGCCAACGATACGATCAGATGTCTGAGGTAGGTGAGTCGAGTGTGCACCTGAATCACTATTATGGGAGCGTCGTTGGCCAAAGGGCCGAAAGACTCTTCGTTGTATACTCTTTGCTCGGCATTCGCTTTTTCTATGTTCCGGCGAATCTCCGCTATTTCGAACTCCGTTAACGTCTCTGTGCTTGCGTTCGTCAACGTTGAGGAAGAACCATTTCGACGATCTTTTAGAAACCTGTAAGTATAAACTCTTCTTTCTTTCTTTCCTTATCTCGTTTTCCCCACTTTCTATCTATTTCTTTATTTTCTTTCTTTCTTTTTTTTTTTTTCTCTCTTTCACTGTACAGGACTCGACGAAGACTTTTTCTTTTCGATGAAAATACAAACACACGTGTTTGCGCACGATTCGACTTACCGATGTAATTCTTGCGGTACAAGGGCGAATAGCGTCTCGTTCGACGAGGCTTGTCCAGCGGAGTCTCGACCGGTCAGGCTGATCACATGAAGCTGAAGCCACAGGAACGTTGCCAGGAAGACGAAGACGAGCGTCCTCAGGAAAGTTCCGCGTACCGATCTGACCGTTCCCAGAAACGCCACTCCTGCAATATGTGCCATTCTGCAGCCTCGTAAATCACCGGCGTTCACAGAATTAGCACGTACACTATCGTTCAAAAGTGTCCGAAAATTTACTTAGATCTGAGAAAAATGCACTTTAATTAGGAAATTTCGAATACGTCGAACTGGATTTGCAAGCATTGTAATCGTCATGGACATGCGTGATAGTACACGATAATGCAGTTAAACTGAACTTTTAAAAGTCGGATTTCAAGTTTATTTTAGAAATAAATTTGGCATTTATAATTATAGAGCTACTTATTAATTTTAATCCTTAATTTGACAAGCTCTTTACCTTCTTGTCTCGTTTTTTTTAATTTGATAAGCTCTTTATCTTCGAACACTTTAATTTTTAATTTCACGATCACGAGTCACATTAAGAAAGCTCTGTTAAAATGAAGGAAAGATTTTCCTTCATTTTCCTTTTCATATTAATGTTAGCAGTCATATGTAAATGATAATAAAGTGTTTTTTACAAGATTAAATCGATAAACCAGTAACTGATGTATTATGTATATAACCAGTAACTGATGATTATGTATAGAACTAGAACCTGTATAGAACCTGTTGACTTTGTTAAATAATCTGAAAAAGATTAATTGCTTCCAATTGCATTAAATATAAAAGTATATGCAGGATACTTATGAACGATAGTATGCACACTCGTACACTTTGTATTCGACGAAGAATAGAATTATCTCGCTTACTTCTCATTCTGGCATTTCTACGCGTCCGTTCTGCAACAAGATAAACGCAATTAATTTAGTTCAAATTTCTCACGTCTGTCCGAGATAATCTCGTAAGAAATGCATCGTGTTCTTACCTCGTATCGGAGAAAAGGCGCGACGGATGGTCCCTCATTTCGGCGAAATCTGCGAAGTAGAGAAAGAAACATGAGAAATATGAAAATCGTAAAAGTACGAGCACAACAGTTCGTTTGCATATCCGCAGGTATACTTGTATCTTTTCTCTCATTTCGTTGTATTTCGAGCACGAGCACGAAGACGAGAATGAAGGGATAAATTCGTTCGTAATAGCTCATGCTCGATAGGCGTGTGTCAGTCCAAAAAAGCGAATCAGGGGGCGTCAACGATTGGTATTGGAATTTCAGTTGCTATCGGAAATTTGAGTTTATTAAGTCTCCCTTTCACACGGAGATACGTGTATCGCTGTGCGTGCGCAAGGGATACGTATCCAAGAATAAAATATAGAAAGGTACTTATGTTACTTATATAAAGTATGCTACTTAAAGTACTTTATATAAATACTTACATAAAGTATTTAGCTAATACGGTTGTTCAGTATCGATTATTTGTCTCTTAGTTAAGTATCCTTTTGCGTGAAACATGCGTTTTTGGAGAAACAGACGATATCGGAGCTATATCTTTTTAACTATATATATATATTGTAATCATATTATGTTATAAATTATATTATATGATACCGTAGAAACTTTTACACTGCGTTCTCTTGGGATATGGATTCGTCAGGCTGCAACTTTTTTTCGGACGAAGGCGACTGACGAAAAAGAAAACAAATTTCTTCATTCTCTCTTCGTATATTTCGTATCGTACCCCGAGATGAGAGGAACTGTGTGTAGGACATTGTTTAGAAATTGCTCAAACGAGGCAGGAGACACGTAAAAATAATCGAAGAATTTTCTGGGATCACTTTCAAGTTCTTTAAATAATACATGAAATGCTGCCTCACTTTCGTTCCTTACGTCACTACTGGAAAACATTTTATCTCACCCTTATAGAGCTACTTTTTAATAATAATAAAATAAAATAACTTTCTCGATGAGTTAATATAAGTTAACGATAATTAATCTAAAGATAACGTTTTTTGATCAGTCAAAAAGAAAATAAAGCTCCGATCTTTTCGTTCAAACAAACGTGCGCTTCACGAAGATATTCTTAACTAACAAATAAATGATCGAAACTCAACTACACGCGAAGAACTCAGAAGCCAATCAGTATAAGTTACTTCTTATTAAAAGCAATCTGTGTTGTGCAAATATGTTTAAATTGTTGGATGGTAGTCATTATAATGTAATCACTGTAATTTTAACGATTGAAAATATGCTTGTCACACAAGTTATTTTTTTTTTTTTTTTTTTTATGGAAAATGACACACTAATTGGCTTCTGAGCTCCTCATGTCTAGATACTCCAGATACTGTGTCGCACAAGCAGTTTTTGTATATTTTAACGCCAGTCACGTATAACGATATAGCGTAGAGTTCTCGCGTGAAAGAGGTACGTGATTTCCAGAGATAATTCGGCGATTATTGTATCGATTTCGTTATTATTCGCCCCTTGACAGTTGTCACCTGTCGCCGGTTATCAATTGCCAATTCGTTTATTTGACAATGTCAAAGAATGAATAACCGATCCCGCCCGAAATCTCTTAATCGATTTACTCAGCTACTTCTACTCGAGCCTCTGCCTTTCTCTCTCTTCTCTTTCTCCTTCTTCTTCCTCCTCTTTGGCTTCTCGTTGCGCCTCGATTGTCCGCGTATCGTCGGCTGGTTCCGGCAGGTTGCTACCGGTTCGCGAACCGTTTTACAAAACGTCATGGAAGCAACATTGGTGAACGCGTTTCCCTCGTGTTCGAGCGAGTCGCCGGACTATTTCTTTCTGCCGCTTTTTCTTCTTTTCATCAGCAACGTGTACGAAAGACGATGCTTCAGCATTAACTTATTTTTAGTACGGCACGCGGGCTTATAGAAAGTTGGAAGGGGCGAGTAAAGAAGGAAGTGGAGAAGGAGAAGAAACGGCGGGAGGAGGGACGACGGAGAAGGAGAGGTAAAAAGAGGAAGAGAAGAAAGAGGAGTGGAAGGGAGAGGAGTAGCGAGTTAGTTTGCATTAACGGTGAACGATGCCAATCAAAAACATACGAAATGTCTGGCAGCTCGTACGATCGACCTTGATCATAGATTATCGTCTAATTGGCGCGTCTTGCCGATTTACGTTGCGCGATTGAAACGATTCAGGCTGTTAAAGCGTTATAACGCGATACGAAAAGGCAAGACGTACTCTTCATTGCGTTTCGACCAGCGACTTCTTCTGTACCTCTGTGAACGTCGTCGTTCTTATTTCGATGACTTTGTCGTTGCAGGAGACGCGGTTATTAAATAATATCAATCGAGCGAAAAAGAAAGAAAGAAACGTGTGAACATTCGCTAGATCGTTCGCGAACAGAGTGTTTGATCAGTTGTGTCGATTACACGTGGTCGATCGAGTGAAATTGCGCGCGACTCTTGCGCTTCAGCGATGCATAATCGAGGCAAGGTTTGCCCTCGAATGTCCCGCCGCCGAAAGCGAGGCGCGAGTTTGCGTGAATCGATTGTTTTCTTTCTTCGAGTCCGCGTGTCAACGTAGGAAACGTAAGAAAACAAGCAGAAAGATCGGTAACGCCGATGACGATGAACGTTGAACAGTAGCGAACGAGAGAGCGGCAAGGTTTAACAACGACGACGACGATGACGACGACGACGACGACGACGACGAGTACAACGCTGGGTCTCCCTGCAGGGATGGCAAGTGGTTTTCCGCAGATGAGCATCGAGTGGCTCGATATTCCATTTTGCCTGGTGGCTGGCCAATGTAGGTCAGCTGAGTTGGCTGGTTGACGCGAAACAATGCGGATATCCGTGAGCAAGTTAACCGCGATATCCTCTTCTTACGAAGGCAGCGGAATGGCAGCGAAAGGGGAGAAGAGGGAAGTGGCAAGATACTCGACAGCAGCAGCAGCGCGAGCAACGCGATAAAACGCTTAAAACGCTCGACGTTTCCCTTTTTTGTCCCTTCACGTCTGCTTAGACCGCATCTTTGTTTACGCCAATCTCGTCCGTGTGTCTGTCAAGTTCTGGACATATATTTTATATGTCCGCATCGCGGTCTCTCCCCTTTTTCTACCGCATCTCCTCTTTCTCTCTTTTTTTTCTCCCCCTCTCGTTCCCACCGCTTCTTGCTCCCCTCTTACACCCGTCGTTCTTATCTTCCTTCCGAGATCGGTATCTCGAAACGACGCTTGAAACCTCCGTGCACCTTTTGGCACTTTGGCACTCGAGATTCTGCCGCGGCACTTTTTTTTTTTTTTCTCTTACCCTCCCGGCAAGATCAAGCGTTGCCAGTTCCCCCTTCGCTGACTCTGCCGCGACCCACTCTGCCGATTCACTGTCGCCGTCGTTCGCAGAAAAACCGCGATCAGCGAACGCCCCGTATCTACGGGTGATACATAACACGCGAGAGGAAACGAGCCGCTAACGAACGCGCTCGCATGCTCCGTTACGTCTCCTGCTTTAATTCACTTGACGCGCAAATGCAAACGACTGGACACGGAGTTGGTCACGCGTCGCTTTCAAGGTAAACCGGAAAACTCGGTTTCTCGCGCCGCCTCGCGGTTTCTTAACTGCGATCGTTTTTCTCATTACACGGACGCCGGAGGAGACACAGAGAGAAGGAGGCGAGGATAACGCGTAGAACGTGGAACGAAAAATGCAGCGTTGTTTGAAAAACAAGGCGGAACAACGCCAACGACGTTAGAGGGTAGAGAGAGAACAAGATAGGATATGGAACATAAAGATTTCGCCGGATGGAATGTCGTAAACGTCGCAACGAATGATGTGAAACCTCGTGGAAGAAACAATGCGAATGAAAAGGGGGTTCTATACGTGTTCTACGCGCATACACGCAGAAAACGAAAGCAAGAAGGAGAGAGGGACAGAGAGAGAGAGAGAGAGAGAGAGAGAGAGAGAAGCAGAGGGGTTGGTGAAATATCGATCAGAGTGGCAGGTCCGGGACAAAAGCTCGGGCTCAGGCACAGGCTTGAGGTCGGCAGCCATGGTCTCGAAAGGGAAATGCGGCATTCTTAACGCGCCGTATTAACACGCCGACGAACAACGGGTCGCCCGGCCAACGGGTTGCTTCCTCTTTTCTTTCTTTTACTTACGTAGGTCCACCGTCTCGGGAGGTTCCCTCAGGACCGGCGTGTCAATCACCACGACCGCACCAGACCCGTGGTTCCAACCAATCACGTATCGACGAGTCTGTCAGGATAGATCGCGAGAAATGCGAGAAGGCGGGAGAGCCAGTGGCGTGTCATCGCGATCTGCCGCAGGAGGATTCGATTTTTCGTTCGATGCGCCACACGAAATTTCCCTTCCTTCCTTCCTTCCTTCCTTCCTTCCTTCCTTCCTTCCTTCCTTCCTTCCTTCCTTCCTTCCTTCCTTTCTTCCTTCTTTCCTTCCTTCCTTCCTCTATCACCCTTGCTTCCTTTCCTTCCTTCGCGTGCGATTCTCCGTCACTGTTCGCGCGGCTTTCGCTCGTAACTGCGATCGCATCGGGTTCCTCGAAGAGTAGAGCGAGCGCGCGGCCGCGCGATCGCGACCCCACCCACCCTCCGCTACCTTTCCTTTCCCGTGTCCACACCACCACTTTACACGTTGCTCCCGTTCCACGCGGGCCACGTTCCACGTTCACGCGGGGGTGCGATTTCTAGCTAGGCCTGATCGATCTTCTTGCCGTCCTGCCATCCCTCGTTGGAAATGGACGTCGTTGCTCGAGCGCTACTGCTCTCTTGCACGCCGACGTCTACGTCGATAACTGTGACCCCGGTTATCTTTCCTCCGCGGATAACGTTCTTCTATTCTCCTTCCTCGCGCCGCGGAGCCACTCGCGCGCGCGTATTCTCCACGCTTAGACACCCTCGAGCTTCTCCTGCTCTTCGATCGATCGAACAAATCGCCGCCACTGTTCCCTTCTTTTCCCCATCGGCATGACCATCGGATGAAACAACTTGGTCCGAAGGTATCTCTCGTGGATGCTGTGCGTCGCGTGTCAATTTACTTGTACCGCGTGGCAGATGGGGGGCCTCGTTTATCCGAACAGGAAGCGACTGAGAAATTTTGATAACTGGTAGAGCTCTGACTTGTTAGACAGACGGAATTTAATGTTTTGAATATAAACAGACTGTTGCGTACGTTGATATGTTCATTGTCAGAATTGTAACACGCGTTTGTTTGCAAGTACAATTAAGAGTACAATATAAATNATAAAATATAAAAGTACAATAAATATATCGTTTTATATGTATAAAATAATATATTTTATATATTTTATTTTATATTATTTTATATATTATAAATGTAATATATAAAAGTACAATAAATATATTGTTTTATATATATAAAATAATATATTTTATATTGTTTTATATATTATAAATATAATGTAAAGTACAATGTAAAGTACGCGTTTGTTTGTAAGTACAATTAAAAGTACAATATAAATATAAAATATAAAAGTACAATAAATATATCGTTTTATATGTATAAAATAATATATTTTATATATTTTATTTTATATTATTTTGTATATTATAAATGTAATATATAAAAGTACAATAAATATATTGTTTTATATATATAAAATAATATATTTTATATTGTTTTATATATTATAAATATAATGTAAAGTACAATGTAAAGTACGCGTTTGTTTGTAAGTACAATTAAAAGTACAATATAAATATAAAATATAAAAGTACAATAAATATATTGTTTTATATATATAAAATATATATAAAATTTTATATTATTTTATATTTTATAAATGTAATATATAAAAGTACAATATAAAGCACGCGTTTGTTTGTAAGTACAATTAAAAATACAATATAAATATAAAATATGAAAATACAATAAATATATCGTTTTATATATATATAAAATAATATATTTTATATATTTTATTTTACATTATTTTACATATTATAAATATAATATATAAAAGTACAATGTAAAGCATGCGTTTATTCATAAGTACAATTATAAGTACAATTAAAAGTAAAATAAAGTTTGATCTAAAGTTCAATAGTTGGGATAATAGAGACTCAACTTATCTATTATAAATATAATATATAAAAGTACAATATAAAGTACGCGTTTGTTTGTAAGTACAATTAAAAGTGCAATAAAGTTTGATCTGATGTGCAATAGTTGGGATAATAGAGACTCAACATTAATTTGCTGAGGAACATGAAATGTAACACACATAAAATCTCGAATGAGTATCGCTCTCTTTTGAAATGATTGAAAACAATTTGTCACGTATGTCCACGAATGTCGTGTCATTCTTTTTTATTTTTTATAACGCGTCACGACAGTGAAGAAGCACAAGTTCGTTCCAAGTTACGTTCAAGAAATCTCGCAGTCTCACGCGTTCGAATCGCATTTCCTCTTGTAACGGTGTAAAAGCACAAATCGTCGGCCACGTTCACGCGATCTCGCGTGTTTCACGTGAAATTTCAACTTTAAGTCGGGAAACTTCAACTTTACCTTCACTCCCTATCGTCGATAATAACAGCCCTTGCGAGCAAATCGTTCCGCGGACGTTTAAAAATTAACGCCGCAATTCTGGACGCAACGTGTGAATTCTCACGTGTTGCGTTAACTTTGGCAAAGAGCAGTGACCAAGAGGCAGAGGAAAGAAAAACGGGGAAGGGAAAAAAGAAAGAAAAAAAAAAAAAAGAAAAAAAACTGGGAGACGAATCGGGAACGTAGACTGGACAGGAACAATTGAGGGCTCGTGAAAAGTTTCTTCGACTAAAGTTTCGCGAAGAACAGAGAACTTCTTCAGATTCAAAATCCGAGCTCAATCGCAGTCCGACAGAGTGAGGAGTTGCGTCGATAGTAAAAATTACGGAAACAGCTATAAACGAGTATGATCGACGATAACACGAAACGCGAATTCGAAGCGGCGATCGGTTTAAATTTGGCTCTGCTGAAATTTTCCGGCGTCGTTTCGTACGAGAGAGGGCTCGTCAATAGAAACGTCTTAGCTGGTTTGGCATTGTTCTTCTTAACAATTTTCTCCATCTCGTACGTGTACGAATTTGCAACGAATCTCAACGATGTGGCCAGTATGTTAGAATCATTCTCGTTGATCATCCAGCTTGTAGGGGGGCAAACACGATTCATGACTGTCCTGTGGTTTCGCGACTCCTGTCAAGCGATGTTGAACGTTTGCGAGTACTTCTGGTCGACCCTAAACTCGTACGAGAAACAGATCGTCCGAAGTTACACGAACAAAGCGAAACTGTTGACTAGTTTTTACGTAGCTATCTGTGTTTTGACTATAATCTTGGTTCTGCTTTCCTCCTTGATGTCGAATATGACAGTCGGGCCGAAACTGAATTTGGAAAATGTCACGGTTCGTGAAAACGCGAGCAGCGTCGCTCCGTCGGAAGCGAATGGAGAACCGTTGAACGCGACGGAGAACAAGCGACATTTGCCATACGCGTTCTTCATCGACGTGCAGGGAACACCGTGGTACGAAGTCTTGTACGTTCTTCAAATCACGTTCATGACGAACGTCGGTTTCACCTGTGTCGGCGCGGACACCATTGGCCCTTTGTTCATTCTGATCACCTGTGGATACTTCGACACGATACGATCCAGAATTGAAAATTCGCATTTGCTTGAACCGTCATTATCAATTACAGTAGAGACGGGGACGACGGACAGAGTAGAATCGTCGAGGAACGTTGACACGAAACAATTGCGAACCTGCCTGATCCATCATCAACTGTTACTGAAGTGAGTGTGATTCGTGATACTTTTTGAATCTAAGGTGTACTTGTACCTATATCTATCATCTTTGGTGAACGAATGGTCAGTTTTAGAAAAACTTTCGATAACGTTAATAGTAAAGCTTGTAATATTTAAATTTAAAGTTGCAACACACAAGATCAGGTATTAGTTCCAAATACTTGGTTCGTGAAAGTTGATAATACTCAATCTCATTTCACTGTACTTCAAAAATGCAGATTATTTTTTAATAAAAATAGTGATCTACGTCATTTTGACTGAAATTTAACTTTTTTCTCCATCTATTAAATATATATATATATATTAAAAAAGTGTAAGTTAAATTTCAGTCAAAATGACGTAGATCATTATTTTCATAAAAAAAATAATTTATTAAATATGTGTATATATATTTTTAAAATAATTTATTAATAATATATAATATATATATTTTTAAAATAATTTATTAAATATATATAAATATATATATATATATTTTTTTATCTCGTTGTTTTCTGCTGCTAGATTTTGCAAGGACATCCAACAACTCATGAGTTTAGTGTTTCTGACACAGCTGTTCGGCAGCACGTACAATATCTCATTGGTTGGTTTGGAACTGGTGAGCGTAAGTATTTAGTTATTCAAAGATTGTTTCTTCTTTCTTTTCCTTCGGTTCGTTTTTCCTCTTAATTTGTCTTGACAGCACGATAATGAATATTGCAATATTGAATTTATAACAGGACAATCCCGACAAGAGTAAGTTCACGGTAGTCGTCATCATTATTGTGCAACTTTTTATCTGCAATTGGCCGCCGGACCTTCTTCTGTCGAAGGTAAATCATGTAAGATAATTATGTTGTTGCTGTTGATATTTCATATATGAAAAAGAAAGGAAACGACAGTTGTATTGTTTTTTTATTACTTTTAACGTGATTTATTCGATTGAACATGCGTCGAACATGAGGTTGAGATGAAAAGAACTTAAACATATATGTCTCATTTTGTAATTTCCACTTATGTGTCTTTCCATTTTTCTTCGTAATAAATTTTTGAAATTTAGAGACTTTATGGACGCACCTCGTATTACTTTCAACATGACGCTTATCGAAATAAGGATACGCGCAGTTTTTAGTTGGCATAATGAAAACTAAGGCCTCTGGAATATTGTTCTTAATGCATAAAATTCAAGAAAGATCGGGCAACGTGTAATTTATAATTATTCTGAAAGTGAGATTTCCTCTCAAATGTCAAACGTGTGTAACATCAATGTATTAATACTATATATTATATTGTTAATGTAATAATGTATTAATACTGTGTACATAATATTATTAATATAATAATAGTAAAATATTTTTTCATAGTGCAAACACTGCACAAAACGAATAAAATCTTAAACAAAGAGGTATAGATATCCGACGCTCACAGAGGTAATTTCACTTGAAACGTCAGCACGTCTTCTTTCTTCAACATTCTAAGACAATCTATTTCTTTTTCATCTTTTTCAGAGTGAAGCTATTAGCCATGCCGCGTATTCGATACCGTGGTATCAATATCCTTGCAGTTTACGAAACCCGACGAACTTGCTTATAATCAGAAGCCAGAGACCGGTCCGCTTAACCGCTGGAAAATTCGTAGCCCTCTCGCTGGAAACGTTCGCCTCTGTATCACTCACTTTCTCTCCTCCACTATTTCCCTTATTTCCCTCATTCTGTTTGTTCTTCTTTCTTTTCAGATGATATCCACCGCTGCCTCGTTTTTCACCATGATACGAAGCGTAAACTGACATCAATTCATCGAGGAACAACTCATTTTCTTTCTTCGTTCGTTCATCCAGCAATCGTCGCAACGATGTCGTTATTTTTCGAACGGACACGAGTAGACAGCTAATCGAATAAACAGTTGATCGAAAATATCAATCAGTCTCCAAATGTCTTTCTCTCTATTGTCCTCCTGAAAGGAGGAAGGAACGGCGATAATCGACGCGACGCGAAGTCAACTCGTGCGAGGAATAAGAGGAGAGAGCAAAGTAGCCGGGAGAAAGGGTTTCAATGTAATCGATCGTTCGAGTTAAAACGTTTCGCGCGTTCTATTCTCGTTTTGATTCGTGGCGAGACGAATCTCCGTGTGGAGGAGAAAGAGCCGTTCCGTCTTGTCGATGTACTTAATTGTAGCGTCCGTGATATATATGTATATATGGCCACGAATTTGTCCAATTGTGCCGCCACGAGCTATCGTTTTCTGTTCTCTTACACATGCTAGTTTAATGTGAACCTCAGTATTATCCATATAATAGCGATTCGATTGCTATTGAATTTCCAAAGCAAGGTACTTTTTCTTTTTATTTTCTATGTGATGGTTACAAGATTGTTTTTTGTCAAAGATACTTGCAGTTAGAGTGATATCAAGCATAACTATATTTGAATTAATTGACAACGAAGCATATAGAACCGAGGAAACGCAAGTAATTGTTTTACAATGCTAGTTTAATGTGAACCTTAGTATTATCCATATAATAGTGATTAGATTTCTATTGAATTTCCAAAGCGAGGAACTTTTTCTTTTTATTTTCTATGTGATGGTTACAAGATTGTTTTTTGTCAAAGATACTTGCAATTAGAGTGATATCATGCATAACTATATTTGAATTAATTGACAACGAAGCATGTAGCACCAAGGAAACGCAAGTGATGGTTGTACAATGCTAGTTTAATGTAAACCTCAGTATTATCCATATAATAGCGATTCGATTGCTATTGAATTTCCAAAGCAAGGAACTTTTTTTTTTATTTTCTATGTGATGGTTACAAGATGGTTTTTTGTCAAAGATACTTGCAACTAGAGTGATATCAAGCATAACTATATTTGAATTGATTGACAACGAAGCATGTAGAACCAAGGAAACGCAAGTGATTGTTTTACAATGCTAGTTTAATGTGAACCTTAGTATTATCCATATAATAGCGATTCGATTGCTATTGAATTTCCAAAGCGAGGAACTTTTTCTTTTTATTTTTCATGTGATGGTTACAAGATTGTTTTTTGTCAAAGATACTTGCAATTAGAGTGATATAAAACATATATTTGAATTAATTGACAACGAAGCATGTAGAACCAAGGAAACGTAAGTAATTGTTTTACAATGCTAGTTTAATGTGAACCTTAGTATTATCCATATAATAGTGATTCGATTGCTATTCAATCCCAAAGCAAGGAACTTTTTTTTACTTTTTACCTGATTACAAGGTTGCTTTCTGTCAGACTTTTTTGCAAGATGCATCAGGCATAATTATATTTGAATTAATTGATATTTCTTCGAAACAATAACGAAGCGAGTATAGAACCAAGGAAATGTACATAAGTGACACCTCTTCAGAATGTATCTTTCAGTCTGAAACGGTGGTCATATATCCAGACACTACTGCACGCAGTAAAATTTCATTGGACGAAGCTGGTCGTCTTGCGTTAGCAGTCGCGGTACGCGGGAGCACACGCGTCTCTCTGAATATTGGCCAGAAGAAAGAAAACCACGTTCCTGTTCGTCGACGATAGTTGAAGCTGCGTTCAAGAAACCCTATTGGCCTCCCTATCGATGATCACGTTTCTCCGTTCGTTCGCTATTTCTTTGTCACTGTTCTTCTTCTTCTTCTTCTTCTTCTTCTTCTTCTTCGACTAGGACTCCTCTTTTCGGCTGCGGACCAATCGTTAGTCGCAGGTCGCCTTCGTGAGGTCGTTACGTCAAGTTGTGCCTCGCTTTCGTCGCGAGGAGACGAAGAGAGGGTGGAAACGGGCGAGACAGAGGCAGAGAAGAGAACCCGATAAATGGGTGGATGGCGAACGCCGGGACAATTCTTGGATTCTTCGGCAATTACCGGTTAAGTGAGTTTTTCTGTAATCCCGGGATCTCGTCGCCAGTGTTATCCAAAGCATCATTCTTACGATTACTGTCAACGCGATTTCTTGACTTGGCTCGACTTGAGTCGAGGCCTTCTCCTAGGTGTGACGACAAATTGCGAAAATGCGGTACGCCAGGAGAAAGGGGACGTGAAAGGAAGATGTGGCAAAGGAGAGGCAAGCAGAGACGTTTATTATGTAACTGTTATCTGACTCACACGGCTGATTTCTTTTGTTTTGTACGTTTATTCAGGTAAATATGTATCGACTGTTGTTATATCGTCTTGATTTGTTATTAACTTTAACGAAAAATGTTGCAGGTCGCACTGAACTCGAAGGAAACACAGTCTGATATATCACTTTCTCTTCGAATGGACGAATGGACGAATGGAACGATTACGTTTTTCACTGTGTTATTTCTCGTCGTTGTTCTCTAGTCATCCCGTTCGTGATCTTCATACAAGGTATGAAATATTGTCATTTGAGGCAAATGTCATTATGAACGACACGAGGACAGATATTAAATTCCATTTGCTCAAATTTAAGAAACGTAAAGCTAAAAAAAAGAAGTCAAAAATAAACGTCAAACAACGCCATGCGAATATTGTTCACTTCTTTAAACAATAATTTTGTACAACGTGGAGCAGCTGAAACTGTGGCGTCAGAGGACTCGCTGCAGGCATCGTGCCTGAGCGATCGACAAAATGGCTGGAAGGAGAAACGAGCAATCGGTGGAAAAGACGATCGCTGGCGTCGCTATCCGAAGCTCGGTTCTTCTCGAATTAATTACGCGGCAGATAGGAACAGCGAGATAGAGGAGTCGCCTGTCGCCGACAGCCTCTTTCTATCTCGTTCTATCTGGAATGCCTTTCGTTCGTTCCCGTTGCCGTCCTCTAATCGAGCTCGATGGAAGCGAGCCGAGAAGAATCGGAATTGACCGAGAAGATCGAACGGGTGAGTGTTGCTGGTGCAAGCTCGTGTCGGTTTAGCAACAAGTTGCAGCTGGTGCGCGCTTTTCCCTGGAGTTTCCTAAAATCAACAAGTGAATTCGCTTTCCTGCTTGGAATTTCTATATCACTTCCTCGTTCGGCTCCACAGGTGGTAACGCAGGAGGTTACGGCAGGTAACCTCGGCCGCGCGTATATCTCGCCGGTTTAATCGCGGTGTCGTTCAAACGAGCGTTCGTCGGCCGTTCTTTCATTCTTTCTTCCTTCCTCGCGGCTTCACGCGGATTATTTCGCACGAATTTTTCAACGTGGCGGAGCGTCAGCGACCACCACGCAAGGAAACGATCGATCGGCGTTCCCTCGAGTCTCGCGCCGCCGGAGGACTCGGTTTCTGGAACGTGATAAAAGCCGGTTTAATAAAGCGGCCGCCTCTACGTGTTCACGTATCGAGAATTCTACGGAGTCCCCGCGTTCCATTCCGCTTCTGGCTCTGCATTCCCGTCGTCCACTACACTGCCTTCCCATTCCTCTGCCACCCCTTGCATCTTAATCTTAATAGCGTTCTCTCTCACCGAATATCTCGCCTTTCCCCTCCGATGCCTTCAATTCTCCTTATTATGAGCTGTTTGTCGTCTGCCTTTATTTTCGGCCGCCACACTGATATTACAACCACCCCTCTTTAGTTTACCACTTCTTCTTCTTCTTCTTCTTCCTCTTCTGCGTTTGACGGCAATCGAACATGTACGTTTACAGTATCTTTACAAGTGTATTCATGTCGTTCGTCCCTAGGAAACGACAACCTCCTATATACACCTGTGAATATACACCCTTTTTTGTAATTCAATTTCATTTACATTTTCATTTACCGTTCATTTCGTCAATTTCCAAGCTGGGTGCAAGGGTGCGGGATTCGTCGAAACCAGATCGCGATTGATGTTCCAAGCGCCATGAGAGGAGATGCTCGGAAAAATGGAAGAAAAGGGAAATGATCGTGGGTGTGAACTGGCTAGATTGTCAGAGAGGACGAAAGAGAGAAAGGACGGAAGGACAAGTCGGAGAAGAGCGGGATGACGAGGAGAGTATAGCGAATACAGGGAAGGAAGGGATGAACGGGGTTGGTAGGGGACAGGGTTAACGCGGAAGCGTTTCGAAATCAGGGGCGAAGAGGAGCAGTTGACGGGGCGGGGAGCGCGAGGAGAGGACAGTGGGGGTTTCCGGAGGCGCTGTGGACCATGCGCTCTCGCGTCGGAGCGAAAGGACGTTGGATCTTCGGAGGATCGAGAAGAGAGGCGACGGGTGAAAGAAGTGGCGGAGGCGCGAGCGTGGACGTGGCCGCGATCGCGAACGCGAACGCGAAAGCGAATGCGGACGACGGTGGGCAGAGAGTGCCGGCGAGCCCCGAGTCGGAAAAATCGGGGTGAGATGCACCCTCGCCACCATCGTCGCTCTCAATCGGCCGCGACGCTTCCGCCTGGAAGCACGGCCACTACACGCTAACCCGTTCGGCCCATCGTTTCACCAACGATTCATCGCTCTCCGTGGAAACCGACTTTTCCATCTTCTTTTTCTTCTTCGTCTTTGATCGACTTTCACCTACGCCATAGGTAAGAAATTTTCTATATTTCCATTTTCCTTCTTTCTTTCGACGTGTACGCACGACGTGTACCCTCTCTCCGTCCGTTTCTTCGCTCCAAATTTTACGCACGCGTGTGATAAACGTTTTTTTTTTTTTTGTAATAACGATCAGAGATGTTGCTCGTTATAATAATGATCGAGTGTCGCGTGGCACGGTAGCGACGATCTCGAATCAGTTGCTCGAAGAGGAAAAAAAAAAAGCGTCGGACTGACGTTCGATTCGCATTTCCTTTCTTTTGCTTCCTCGATGTAAGATAATATTATAGAAGGCGAGCGCGAGCCCTTCCCCCTTTTCTTCTTCTGGTTTAAATTTCCGTTTTGTCTCGGTTCCGCGATTGTGCCGGAGCGCGTAGATTTCTAACCGAGGCACGAGAGAGCCGAGTTTCAAGCTCGGTTTCAATTCACACTCGAGGCTGCACCCTCATTTCCGCGTGTCGTTCGCAGGTTTCGTTTTAGATTCGGCCGCGAGATCCTCGCGCTCGTCCCTCTCGTTGACTTTGACATTCACTTTGTCCGATGATGACGATTCAAATTAGAACGTAGAAAAACCAGCCGATCTCGGCTCCCTTATCTCGCCATACGTTCTTTGAATTTAGACTGAAACTTAGTTCTATGCACGCTGTCAATAGAGATCATCACGGCGAAACGAATCGGTTTTGTATAATGGTTCGGAAGAAAAACAGTTTCCGGTATCAGGCTCGCGAGGTTAATAGATCGGTAACAAGGTTATAAAGCAATCTGCATAACCCTGCCTGGTACTTTGCTTCGGCTACAGGCTTGTCCCGTAGCACTGCGAGCGGTCTCGTAATTACCAGGTATAATGCGATTACTCGATCGCCAGACTTGCTGTAACCGAGAAGAGCCAGCCTCTCTCCTTCGAACTCGCTCTCTGCTCTTCCTTTTCCTGCTTGCCTTTCCTATCCTTCCGCTCTCTATCCTATCCTTTCTCATCTTTTTCCTTTTTTTTTTTTTTTTTTTTTTTTTTTTTTTTTTTTTTTTTTTTCCCCCTTTTTTTTTTTTTTTTTTTTTTTTTTTTATCGCACATATACGCATATCNTTTTTTACTACACGAGTACACATCCCTGTCTTTAAACAAGAAAGAAAAGCCCGAAACTTTTCACGACGAGTGAAAGCACAAACGTCTTTATGAAGAACCGTCTTTATGAAACCTAAAGGTTTCGCAAAGCGTTCAAACAAATCCCAAACGAAAATAGAATCCCCTAAAAAAAAACGCGAGTCAAACGAAAGTCAAACGCAATGGAGAAACTTCCGTCGAATCACAATCAGAGAAATTTCCAACTATCCTTGAACCTACCCCATTCCACCCAGATCTCAATCTCTCTCTCTCTCTCTCGACAACTTGACCGTAAATGCCAACAGAAATGAACACAACCGTGAACACAACTCACCTGCTGAAGTGTCCGTGAAATGTTGGCGAACACTAGGGGGGAGGTGGAACACAGGAGGCCGCGTTATTGTGATAGCCACTCAGGGGTCGAGGGGCCCGAGTGATGGCCGTGGCAGGATTTCAAGTCGACGGAAGAAGTTAAACGGAAGAAATTCAGCGAATTCCGTGTGCTTCGGTATTGGCAGTCTCTCCCGAGCCTCTCTCAGTGGTCGGCTGAGTCAGCGTTAGACAAATGGCGAAGGGGAGGGAATTCTCTCGTTCTCTTTTTTCTTTTTTTTTTTTTGTTGTTCTTCTTTGTCTTTCCTCCTCCTTTTTTTTTTTTTTTTTTTTTGTTTTCTTCTTTTATCATTCTTTTCATCCCAGTTAGTGATTTTATTTCTCTTTCCTGTTAATAATTCTCATTTCTGCAATTTGCCCGCTTCACGGAGAGGCTTTCTACTCCTTGGGCAACCCTATCGATCCAAAGGCGAGCGGTCGATGTGCCCCCTTGTAAAATGAAAAGAATGACCGATGATTCCATTTTTTTTCGGTCGTTTCCTTTTCTTTCTTCCTTCCTTCTTTTCCTTTTTCCTCATTTCCCTCTCCTTTATTTTCTCCTTTTTAGTCTCTTCATTCCTGCAATTTTGTCTCCTTAGGGTTTCCATTCCATCTGAAAATCGAGTGGTCAATGTACTCTTTCGTATGATGAAAAGATGACGAAGAGGCTTACTTTTTTTTTCTTTTCTTCTGTTTTTCTCTTTCCATTATTTCCGTTATTATTATTATTATTATTTTGTTAATGATTTTCATTTTCCTCTCCCGTTGATAATTTCCCATTTCTGTAATTTCAGCTTGACGAATTTCCGCTTCGTAGAGATAGGGTTCCTTGGGGTTTTCTATCGATCCAAAAAGCGAGCGGTCGATGTACCCTCGCGTAGATGGCGATGAGTTCATAATACGTATCCCGAGGATATCGTAAATTCGTTTAAACGGGCACGACGTCACAGCCGTAATTTTATTTCGCGTTCCTATTTGTATTCAATCGTATCCCTTCGGTCGCTTCTCCGCTTCCATCGCCTCTTCACCCTCCCCCTTTTTTCATTGGCACTATCGGTGAATCACGGGGTGTCGCGCCCCATTGCATCGCTACGAGATCAAAATGTCCGTGTACTCGCGATTCAATTATTTCGACGATTCGTCTGCCTGTTCGTCGAGTTTTCAACCCATTATATTGCATTATGTCGCGGTGGTTTTATTCCGTGTGATCACGGACAGCGATTGAAGTGATTTCTGGAAACGGCGACAGGCAATAATAAAATTTGGCATTTGGAAATTGGCAAAACGACGCGGAATCATTGCGCGATGATTTATTAATTACACGTCGAGTTAAGAAACTTAATCTATGGTTGTAGAAACAATGATTTCTAGCCTGCTAATTACGTGAAATGGTAACTGCTTCTAATTACTTTTCTGGCTCGTCATCAGTTTTCAACACTTTGCAACTTCAAATGATCTTATTGGAAATTCATCGTCATTTTTATATACGGAATTAGACAGAGAATGTAATAATTTATGTAGAAAGTCAGATTATACAGAGGGATGCTTAGTTATTATAATAAAAGAAAGTCGTGATTCGCGAAAGGTTGATTCTTCCATTCTCCTATTTCGTTTTTTTTCGTTGTATCTTCTTCTCATGTGAATTTTATAGATATTACGACGCAAATAGTCTGCCGGCTAATTCGTAAATTGGCTCGTGAAACTTGACTTTTAAAATTCGCGTCGAGCATACACATTGACATTTGACATGTTGTCATTAGCATACGTGGATTGTCTCGGCAATCGGTTTAAGCTTGTTATCCCGGCATAACAATTGTCTTCGATACAAACATCACCGACACACGCTGTGTTTTCCCTCGCACTTCAAGCCTTCAATCATTCGCGCGTACGTAGTTTCTCTGTACGATACCTTTCGCGAAATTAGTGACGAGCGAAGAGAGAAGAAACGCAAGAAGATTCGAATTTTTGAAGCGAAGTACACGGATCGTACGTTATTCTACAATTGTTTATTCTGCCGACCAGCAGCTGCGATTAGAAATTGATAATTATAAAAGCCTGAAGGTCCAGTAACTCGTCGACGGAAGATGAGCGAACGATCACGAGGAGAAGGGAAAAGGAAAGAGGGAGGTGTGTCGGGATTACGGTGGTGTTACTCCAGCGATCCGATTCGAATCGTCGGAGACGACGAAGCGTCGAATCGATCGGTGGGCTAATCGTTTCCTCGTCGTGTCGGCCAACTTGTTGAGGCGCGAAGCAACAGTTTGCCTTTTAAACGGGTCCCTTCTGTTCACCGATTCCTCCGTGCCTCCTTCGATTTTTCGGCGACCGAATTTCTCCCGTTCTCCCTCCGCGTCGAGGATCTTCGAGCGGCGAGGGTGGAAGATTTGAAACGCGGCAATTAACGCGATACGTTTCGAAGGAAAGTCGATTAGACTCGTCGCGATTAATCGTCGTGTCCTCCTCGAGTAATCCTCACTGTTGGCTCACGGAGTCAGAGTGTTATTAAGTTGTCTCGGAGATACGATCGAGCCATTCATTCGACGGAACTGTGCTATTCCGGTCTGTTCGGTCTGGCAGCAGCAGTACTAATTGCTTCTCAAAGTGGAAACTAACTTTCCACTTTCGAGAGACGAGAGTTACCGCGGGCGCGTGCAAAAGGGTTCGGCCTGTCGGAGATCCGATCTCTCGCGAGGTCTCTCCCGTGTGGAAAGGAAGCGAACGCTTTCGTTGGTCGCGTTATCACGCGTATTCTTCTTCTCGCGTTCTTTTTTTCTTTTTCTTTCTTTTTTTTTTTT